GATGGGATTTGAATACCTCATCACTTAAATTGAGCTTAAACCACACAAGGCGACATCAGCCATGAGTAGTCTATTGGGGAAATGCTATTAAAAGTAAGCTTACACCACACAAGGCGGCAGCAGCCATGAGTAAGTAGCATATCGGGGAAATATAATTAATGTCGCTAGGCTTAGTGACAGTGATATACACGAACGACGAAAGTATACTTCGACAAATACAAATGTTCCTTATAATTCGGAGCATCAATCTACACAAGCAACTACTTGCCCCCTCCAACTTTTGTATTTAATTTTCAGTGAGCTACGCGTAGACTTCAGTTGGTTGTCGGGGTTCCGGTAATATCGTTTCGAAGAATACCGGTATATATTTGATGGGCACAATCGGATTCGACATCGCTTACACTATGCAAGGCAGCAATGGCGTACAATTCAATCAATGTGGAGGTGATTGAAGCTCTTGAGTTGGGCTCTTTGAGTTCGAAATAAAATTAGTGTGATTCTACATTCAGTGTTGGATTAAATGTAAGCTTATAGTCGTCGACGAAGGTCTTAGTGTAGGGCTGCGCAACTACTATTCATCACACAAACTCAAATATTCTGTTAATGTATTTCAAAGCACAAATCAATACGTCACACAACAGCCCCCCGCCCGCCCGTACAAATATGTCGTTGGGATTGGGACTGTGTTCAGTTGGTAAAATGTTTTACTTCCTCTGTTCCAGGTTACTGCCGACATTTACTTTGAATTGACACAGACAATCGAGCCCTCTCTCAATTTGGGTGAATTATACTTTGTTTGAAAGGGAATTGCATGAATTTTCGCAAAAGATTGGTTTATAATCAGCGCTTAAAGAAATTGTAAGCCAATGAAATGTCATAAATGTTCGATATTGATAGAAATTGAAGAATTACAGCCAATGAAATGCAAATGTCGCCAGTAACTTGGAACATGCGAATTTTGAAATGTCGGCAGTAACATGGAACAGAGGAAGTATATACTACGTAGTAGTTGGTGATGTGTGGCATAATGTCGGTCGGGCGTAGGAAGATTTGCTTTGTGTTAGGTGATTTATGGATGAGGAAGTGAATACATACAATCTCCATAGCACTTTGCAAATTACACTGTGGTAGTCTCGATGTCAATTCTCCGGAGATCGTAACCTCGAAACCTTGTTAACTTTGGGGATGAAGACAACAATATAGTGACTTCAAAAAATCCCAGCTTTAATAAGAATATGATGCAATGCTGTGAGATTTCAGGTTGATTTGCTGTGTATTTGCGCTATGAATACCATCTTCGCGCCCCCTCGTAGTACAGTCTAGAATTCAATCTAGTCATGGTGGAAGGACTTTGAACAGTAACATAAGACAAATAAGGGCGGGGCAACTAGCATTCAATCCATCCCAAGTAACATTACACCTCAAATCAGTACCATATTACCACCGTGTACCAGCTCCCTTCAATAGTCCCTACATGTACTGCAGCTTTTTCACTTATTGAGCGATAATTTTCGTTTAGAATTTCGTAAAGTGCTCAATTATGACTATCGTATATCGCTAGTAAACACATACACCTTACTGTCGGTGGAACGGGAGGTCATCAAGGCTTCAAACTATAAATTTTCAACTATCAAACGTTTGAAAATCAAGTGAAGCATAATTTTCGGGAAATAATCTCAAGTGGCCATGATCAAAACTACAAATGCTACGACAATCTAACCCTCAAATAATGCAAGCCATGTTTTTATTGGAGCAGCTCGTTCCATGAACTACTGTACTACTAGTAACTAGTATTGCCGCAGTGCTGAGCACTCAGGAAATCACCGCAATACATAAATTTGTCATATTCTCATGCATAATCAAATACTATACGTATAGTAGCAAACAATGACTCTTGACCATTCGCAACGTGGAACAATGCTCATCAATGAGAAATGACGCCGTTGATTCAACACATCGAAATGACAAATTAATAAGGTCACATCAAGCTATTCACAGTTCCGTCGAAGTTAAAAGTGGCTAACCATTCTGACGGCCATTGTGGTTCGATGAATATATTCCACTGTTGACCCAGTCGCTGCAATTAATCCGCTTCTTTCAAACGAGTCTTATTGACATTTGTTGTTGAACCACCTGTGTTTGATTCGCTCTTGATCTTAAAGTGGTCTTACAGTTAAATTGAAGATGTACGTTATACTGGTATGTATATATTATCTCCATATGGTTGTGTTGTTTGGAATGTTAAACGACCTCCACGGGTGTTTGAAGACATGGCATAGTCGTTGGACGAGGGTGATGTAGTACCAGGGAATACATGATGTTGCCTGCCACAGCATAAACATCCTGTGGCGGCAAACAAAATGGTAAACCCGATCGCGCGAGGCCATACGTGGCACTCTATGGTGGCGTTTTGCAAGGCAGAGGCCCTTTCCAAAGTAGAGAATCGCGATTGCAGCACCGAGTTGGACACTTCGTCGGCCAAGACAAGGCCGAGGAGGTAGCAGTCGTGCCTCCACGTCATAACCGTAGCAACGTCTACATACACATTGGCTTGATTAGTAGAAGAAGCAAGTGAAAACATCCTACGTACCAGCGACTATAGCCACAAGGAACAGAGCCAACGAGCCGCTCCACACCAGGGCGGCTACATATCCAGTTCGATTCTTGAGCAGTATTGCATTGGCGAGACATGAAGTGCGGGCCAAGAGGTGCAGCAGAGTGTTCTTGCTCGACCAGCCACCTATCATGCGATGCGTTTTCAAGTACACATGCACCACGAAGAAGTGGTCGCATCGTAATGGAAGACTTCTACCACGATCGGTGACGAGTTTAAGGCGGTCGGCAGCGGGAGTCGGACTTGCACCACTGGGACGCCGTCTGAAAATCGGACATGGCTTTGCCCTTGACGCGTGCAATTCCACTCTATACGAGTGTGACGTTGTGACCTGCACGTCGTGGTAGATGTGGTACGTCGAGACAATGTGTTGGCTGGTACTAGTATGTTGGTCGGCATGTGGACGCAGAGGACCGAGGGTCTTGTTCGTTGCAGGCAGCAACCAGCGTGACCACCGACACGATCACGCAGATCATGAGATAGCGCTTAAACCCTTCATCGTTTGGCCTGTCCGCGTAAGCCAGACGCTGCTTCCATTGCCTCGAGAGTCGGTTATGATGCATACTGGCAGGTTCAATCATTATTTAACCGGATACGGATAGCAGTAGCAATCGGATCCGGATATTAGAGTTCCCGGTCCAGTTCATTTCCGAACCATCGGTTCAGGTGACCATGGAATCAAGACAACACAACACACAAATCAACAATGACAATGAGCCTTCGCCGTCGTCCAAGCGACGCAAGACGATGCCCAACACGAGCTTCATATGGAAGCACTTCCAGCGCAGTGAAGACAAGAGCTCTATCGCATGTGTCCACTGCCTTCCCATGGGAGCCACGGTGTTCGCGTACTCGGGTGGGACGTCCACCATGACGCGGCACTTGCGTCGGAAACATGGCATCTTCGCACCAGGCAAGTCCGAGCAAGACTACGAGCGTCCGTCTTCCACCGTGCCATCCTTCACCACCGCGATGCTGACCTCTTTCTTCGACAAATCCGACGAAGGAGGCGGCGGTGAACCCTATCGTCCTCCCAAATGTGCTGGTCATAATAATGTCATGGCCTATACCTCCCGGTATCTCAAGCTCCAGCACACGCGCCACACGATGCAATGGATTCAATTCGCAACGACGCAGTACACATCCCTTCATCTCGACGCCGACTTGCACACGGTGCTACGGAAAGGTGCGAATCTTCTTACATTTTTGATGGCATGATTAAGGAGGTACTGCTGCTGTGCAGGCAACGGGTCGTTCCAGCCGCTTCAAGGACCCCCATTAGTCGCGGCATTGATGGACCTCATGCAAGGCCAGCGCACTGCGCTACGGGAATACATGGACGCGGTTCGTCCGCCAGTGTCATTGTCCGTGGAAGCTTGGCCTTCGGCCTCGCAATGTCTCGTCCACGTTGTCACAGCGCACTGGATCACCGACGACTTTCAACTCCGTGAATGTGTGTTGGACACCATGCTGCTTCCAGCGGCTGACGCCCAAAACGGCGACGACTTCTCATTGGTCGTGACGTGGCTGCTCTCGACAGTCGAGCAATGGAACCTACTCACCGTCGATTCCATCACGGTCAAGCCTTCGTGGAGCTCGTCCGCGTTGGCTCTTGCGTTTCCAAACGCAAACATTGTCCCCTGCCTGGTGCACCAGGTGGATTCTGTCATGCAGACAGTGTTGAGTGTGTATTCGTCGCTGCTGATCAAAGCTCGCCGCCTCGTCTTGGCCGCCGCTCCGCTGAATGTACCTCTTCATTTGGATCATTCGACGCACTGGTCGTCGTCCCTGTCGATGGTGCAGCAGCCATCCATCCTCACCCACCCATCGTGGACCCCAGACGAAGCCCAGCGCCTGCACCAGCTCATATCGATCCTAGCGCCTGTTCACTCGTTGCTTGAGCAAATCGCCAACACCTCCGACGACCCCAATATTGGGCCATGTCCTCCTCTCGCGTCCCTGGCGTTTGGACTGTTGCATGGGGTCGTGAAACTCCTCCAGGACAAACCCCACGCGTCCGCCTTTGTCCCACTGCTCCAGGCGACGCTACAGTCGTCACCCATGCGACGGGTATGTGCGTTGGATCCCCGGTTTAAATCCCTTCCGTTTCTGTCCCCATCGGAAAAGCAAGACACGCTGGACACGCTCCAACGAGCCATCTCGTCCAAACGGGGAGTTGGGGTGTTGGTGCCGCCATCGCCATCGCCGGCTGCTTCGTCCCATACCCCAGCGGTGCCGCCTCCGACGTCGTCGTGGACGGAGCTGTACCCGTTTGAAGACACCCAACCCACGGGAGACTTAAAAATGTACTTGGACGCGGCCGCCCACGACCTGGTCGACCCGCTCGCGTGGTGGAAAGTGCATCGGCATGTGTATCCTGACTTGGCCAAGGTAGCTCGCAAGTTGTTAAGCATGCGTCCGTGCGCCGGTGTGGCGGCCGAAGTGCTGACAACGCCCGACGTCCTCGGGCGAAAGCAAGCGATACCCACTGGCCTAATTGCCGCCTACATGTTTGTGCGAAGCGCACTACGTGTGCCGGAATTAGCAGTCTTGCCTGAGAAATAACCTTAAGTTACTGCTACGTTGAGCTATTCTTAGCTTTTGTCTATATTTAGCTAGAGTGCCTGTGGTGAACGTTGACAACAAGGAGATTTGAGGACCAATATGTTGCGCCGGCCGATTGCGGTAGTAGCCCAAGGTAGTGGCGGAAGTAGTCGATGGGACAAGGAAGCGTCCGAGTTCTGGAAGCAAATGCCGTCCAAAGAGAAGCCGGCCACGTCCCGCGGTGGCCGAGCATACGTGGCAGCCGGAGTGACGTTGCTGGCGGGGATCGGATGGTGGTGCGTCGGGACCTTCGGGGCGACGCCCGCATTGTCCACGGAGGACAACGTCCGAGCGAACTGTACTACGTTGGCGGTGCAATCCAAGTGGCATCAAGACATGTGCCAGAAAGTCTGCCCCAAGTACGAATGACGAGATTGTTCAAGGATGTGTGACGTTGGGTTGTAGCAACGAGTTCAACGAAGCTTGCATGAGTGGGTGCTACTTCGGTACGCTGACCATCACCAAAGGCGTGTGCGCAAATCGAACCCTCGACGCTCCGCTGTGGACGTCGTGCGAGTTTCAAGTGGATTGCGCCGGTACGTCGTAGTTCGTTCGAACTCAGTATTGTGGAATAATGACTCATTGGTTTGGGGCGGCGAAGGGGCGTGCGTGGAATACGCGTCGGTGCGGCCGATTCCGGCCAAGCGGAACGCATGCGAAGGGGGATGCAACTCAGTTGTGCCATCAGCATGCAAACGAGCGGTGGACATCTTCGATCGGGCTGTCAAGGGCAACAAGTGACCAAGAAACATGCAGTGTTTTGGTTAACCGAACATGCCTTGAGTTACAATATTGTATGGCACCGCGTCGCTGTTTGAGTAAAAACATAATTAAGGCTATCGCTTGGTCCTAGTCATGCCAACTTGTCCTGATTCCGGATGGTACCATGAGAAATTGTGAAGCGATCGTTAAAAAGTACGGAGTAGTACTCAAAGTATGACAAAATGAAAAAAGAATCGACAGCTGTGAGGTTTGAACTCACGCGGGTTACCCCAACAGATTTCAAGTCTGTCGCCTTAACCACTCGGCCAAGCTGTCTGGACGTTCCATATGGTCCATAGTTTATTAATAAAGCTACTATTGTAATTGCTATATTTGCACATGCTTCAAGTGCCTCAACCCTTCAACAACCCAAGGGTTTGCTCAATGAATACTGCTACATAATACATACCATACTAGTAGTAGGTAAGGTCCCTACTCCTTGCGGCCAAGGAGTGGGGTATGCTTGGGCTTGTTTAAACTTACGGTGTCTTCATGATCTTCCACTTGAACAAAGTACTCCGGAGTACTGTACTGACATGTGAGTATTAATATCATACAGTAATTCGAAGTAGTATTAATCCTACTCATACTACTATAAAGAATAGTACGACGTAGTAATAGGGAGATTTCGGAGATGAGTATTTACCTTTATCCTTAAAATAACCTCTGAAGCTTTATAGGGTTGTGGAAAACTCCGGAACTTAGTACCAGAATCCATGTTCGAATCCTCGACCATGATTGGCCAGATCTGTTGACTTGTAATTGGCCAGATCTGGTGACTTGTGATTGGCCAAATCTGTTGACTTGGTGCAACGCTTTTCTCTTCTTGGCACTTCGAATGGAGCGTGGACGATGACCCACATGAAGTGGAGGTCAATCAGAGGCGCGGTGGGAGCGAACAAGTTAATGATATCCTCCATCGTTATGCATAGTGACGTAGAATCATCACATGTATACACTTGTAGGAACTACGAAAAGCAACTTAGGCGGCGCCCGACGCCGCAGCTTAGTCAGCCGCGCCTAGCAGTACATCCGACCGGAGTTGTACCAGCGGCTATCAACGATATCTTAAAAGCACCAGATAAGTACTAGTATAGACGCACTCATCTGCAGCTGGCGCTTTGTCGAGGCGTGCTACTTTAGGTGCAAGCCACTCCTTGCCTTCGTAGCTACGCATTTCCGAACGTCGTACAGATACTAGTAGTAGAACAACTAAACTAACACAATAACGTTATGAGTCTCAATGAATTCAATGCTTCGTATGCCTCTGTCATCCCTACTAGCCACAACGCTTCAACGGCGAATGACCCATGGGACGACTTCACAGTGACCTCGCCGATCATCCACGAAGTCCACGAATTTGACTCCATCTAGTCTACGGATAGGGAAAACTTGTTATCACCGAAATCGTCGATATAAAATCCCTCGCTTTTACTACTACTTTGCTTTCAATTTTTACGGAAAAAGAAAAGGAGAAGTCATCTCTGAAATCTGCCTAATGTACAGTATTAATAGTACTGTGATAGCCCTTTCCCTAGTACCAGAAATCCACCAATCCAAACGCGAGAAACAAGAATCTGGATGGCCTTCCATCCGTGAATCTTCATTTCACAGAGTCAATCGTGAACATGGCGTTTCCTGTTGTGGTACGTTCGCGACTTACTCGGATAGTCGTGGCTCATATCATGTGTAGCGAAAGGAACCCATCTACCTGGCCGACGATGCAGTCTACTCCAAGGACCACTTCCTGGTCCCAAATCACTACGTAGTACGTCGCAATCTCCACTGCTCTATCTTGTATGATCTCCTCAAAGCATGCATTGGTGGTGGATAGAACTACGTGGAAAGCGTGTTGATCCCGCAAGGGTTGATTAGCGACCGTGTAGAGAAGCTGGCCCAGGACATTCGTGCTGCGTACGAGGGCCAAACGATCCACTTGTTGTGCGTGTTGAAGGGCGGCAGTGCGTTCTTCCACGCTTTGATCGACAAGCTCCGTCTGTTCCACAAATACAACACGTGCGACTACGTGCCGTTCACGTTTGACTTCATCAAAGTCAAGTCGTACGACGGGTTGCATTCCACCGGCAATGTTCAAGTGAGCGGTGCCGACTTGACCAAGTTCAAGGGCAAACATCTGCTGCTCGTCGAAGACATCATCGACACAGGTAGGAACGAGACAGGTGGTCGCCCATGGCGTGGCTCACGGCACCATCATTTGTAGGCAAGACCATGGCCAAGCTGGTGCCGTACCTCCAAGAGTCCGACCCAGCGAGTGTCAAGGTGGCCAGCCTGCTGGAGAAGCGCAACGTCGAGTCCTGCGGCTTCCTCGGGGACTTTGTCGGGTTCTCCATCCCCGACAAGTTTGTCATTGGCTGCTGCTTGGACTACAACGAGATCTTCCGAGATTTGGACCACATTTGCATCATCAACGACGCTGGGATTGCGAAATGGGCGAACTATTAAAGACCTTCCGCATCATCTATAATAGCCTAGTTAGCGTGCAACTACCTAACTTTACATGCAATCGAGCACTTTGGGTGGTGGTCAATTCGTTCTATATGGGATTCGTAGCTGGCGTTATGGCGACGAGGTCGGCTTGAACTGCGCTGGTGTCCACGTCTTCACCGTAAGCCCATGCATACCACCGATCTCTTCCTTGATCACCTCGTTCACCAACCGATGCTGTGCCACCCGCGACTTGCCCTCGAACGCCGCCGACACCACCTCGATCTTGTACATGGAGCCGCAACCGCCGGAAATGTCATCCACTTGGACGTGGGTGGCATCAAGGGCCTTCAGAAGCGACATACGCATAGCATCTTCCGCCGTCGTCGCAAAGGAACGGACGGCTGCGAGAGTTGGGACACGACCAACAACAGCACGGCGCAACATCATGTAAACGAACCAATTCGGGGTGGGTGAACGGAACACTGCCTGGATGTTGGGTGCGCCACTGTGCATTATCCGGATCGCATGGATGCACGTGGAAGACTGAGATAAACATGATACTAGTAAGATATAGGCTGTATTACTAGTATTAACCCGGACGTGTGGACTGGCCTGCGATTCGCAGGTTGGTGGCTAAGCCAATGAAACACACGAATAGTACGATAAAGCCAGTATATTTTGGCCAATGAAACTTCCTTATTCTGAACATCAAGCACGGCATCCACTTTGGCTGTTTGCGACGGCGCGGGCACGGCACCGGCTTTGGACGACGCCGCAGATGTCTCGGGCACGGTACCAGCTATGGGTGACGCCGCCGATGTCGCATCTTCAAGTACGACGGCATCATGCACAATGATAGGTATGTCCCATCCTCCGTTGCGGGT